CCTCCCTCTCTCTCCTCTCAGTTGTCAATCTCTACGTTGCTCGGCTCTCCGCTCCGCATGGCTCCGCTCGACTTGACGGTTAGGCCGTCCTTGGGTGAGGTTAGTAACGCCGCTGAAGCTGCCGAGGCAGTGCCGAGCAGCGCCGCACCCCACCGGGCCACACCTAACCCGGCCCATTACGGCTTCAAAGGAGCAAAGGTGAAAACACACGCACGCATACTGTCACTGAGAGACACCGCTGGAAGAAACGGGAGCATTGCGAATGAAACCTGACGCTAGAGATACTGCACTCTCAATAAAAAAAAATACCGTCTCTGTTAGTTAAAAGGAAACAGGTTGGTGTTCAATGTGATAAGAAATGAGACCGTTCCTCCGAAAAAGATTTGTGCTATTGTTTCAGTTCTTTTTTTATTATTTTGGGGGAGCAGGAGAACGCCAGGCCAGGGTTCAGCGCCCTTTCTATATACGTGACGAACGCACGTCCCTCACGTTATTTCTTTGCCCGAAGAGTGTGCGTGTGTGTGTGTGTGTGTGTGTGTGTGTGTGTGTGTTTGTGTGTGTGTGCGAGAGAGAGGGAGAGAGAGAGAGAGAGAGAGAGAGAGATGTGGGGAGGGAAGAGGGCGTAGAAAGCCTTTGGCACCCGCAGGTCGGCAACAACAATATCGCATAGCGAGGACCCTGCAGTGTGGAGAGCGAGCCAGACCAGGAACGCAACTTGAAAAGCCGTCGATGGCAGATACCGTATTTTTCGCGACGATGTTGACTTTGTATGCAACGCCATGAGCATCGCGCGAGTGTGCGGGGCGGAGGGGGTTGAAAGGAAAAGAAAGGCGTCAGAGCGGGGGTCCGGGCCTGGGCCGGGGGCCTGGGCCAGGGGCCTGGGCTGGGCCAGGGGCAAGCGCAGCCCGGCCATTGACATGTGAGTGGGTGGGGCCAGCGGGGCCAGCCCCGGCCGGGGGGCGCATGCCGGGCGAAACAAGGGAAAGGACGGGAAAGGAGTCGGCGTGTGCCAAAGTGATAAACGCGCCGTGGGCACGCTTGCCCCGTGCAACGGACAGAGAAATGGAGGAAATATTATTGCACGAGGCAGACCGACTACTATGCACTGATAAACCAAAGTTTGCAACTGCTTATTACTACTGGTAAGTGTGCAAGAGCAAGTTAAATACTTGCAAGTATTCCGTAGTTGTGCACTTCCAAGTGTTCAACTCGGAAGCTGTGCAAGTGCAGATACATAATTACTCCGTAATTAAACTCTTGCAAGTATTTAAGTTGCAGTTGCACACTTCTAAGTAGTGTTAAGCGATTGCGCCCTTGGTTTATTAGTGTAATGTCTCAAGTGAGTTCCCGGGAGAGAGGGGGGCCGCAGACACAGCTTATTGTGGCCATACATGTGGTCAGATGTGAAATTCAACGTTAAACATGCGCATTTTGCTGTTCTAACTGTTATAAAACCTGACAGTTGACTAACGCGACCATTTTGTTCATTTTACAACGTATAGCTCAATAAATCCGAGAGTCATCATACCGTGGATGGTTGAAAGTCGGCACCACTTACCTTACCTATCCCCCCCTCCCTCCCCCTTACCCCCAGCGCGTCTGTGATTGAATAACATTTTAGTGCCACGCCGAGCTCATGGGAGGCTGGCGCACTGGCCGCACCTTCAGTTGTTCCTATGAGGAGCAGTAACGCTTCGCTCCGCACGGCCGGCGCCGCCCATAATAACCCTCGAACAGCCACCGTGAGGAGGCCGCCACGTGGACGGTGGACACGTTTACAGCTCGTTAGTTATTATTAAAGGACACCCGTGTGTGGAGGCTACCCTGTCAATTTGAGGCACTGGTTCAAAAAAAAATGAAACATGATCACTTGGACAGCTTTAAGTGTACCAGTGCACAAACACTCTTCAGATTGCATGTGGTCACGATGTGGTCACTGCTTCATCTTTGTGGGGCGCTTCAAACTGCCCCAGGTGATTGACTCTCCGCGTCCATGCTCGTCGTAGGTGGGCGGGCCGGCGTGTCTCAGACCATAACGCACCTTGCCTTACGGCCCCAGAGTGTATGGGGCAGTTCTCCCGCACGCCTTGCTTCGCGGCACAGTTCAAATCTGCCACCCCGCTGTCCCGGCACGGCGTGTGTGTGTGACTTCAGCTCACCGATATGTCTTAGCCATAGCACAGCTAGAAAAATGAATTGATTCAAGTATCGAGATAGAACCTTACCGGTTTATTAAAACCACAACCACCAGCAGCGTGCCGGGGCCGTGCCGCCGGCTATGCCGGCTGTGGCCGCAGGCTGGAGGTGCGGGGGAGCAGCTGGCTGGGCGCGGCGATACCCCTTGCGCGGTGCGGCATATCACGCACGGGGTGTAGGCACGTCTTTCTTTTGCGCGGTCCAGCAGGGAGCATTGGCACCTCTGTTGGAGGGAGGGGAGAGGGAGTTTTTGAGCCGCGTTTTTATTTGACTAAAGTGGATCCCAGGATAGCGAGTTCAAGTCTTGCCAACGGCGGTCTCTCTCTCTCTCTCTCTCTCTCTCTCTCTCTCTCTCTCTCTCTCTCTCTCTCCCTCACAGTTTCAATTCAACTTAACACGTTTGCATACACTGCAAAATGCTTGCAAACGATATCCATTACAACATTGCGAAGAATTTTCGATCTTTGGAATGCCATGAATTAGTTGGTATTGCAAAGAAATTATTTGCAAATAAATTATTTGCAAGCTGTCAGATTCACTGTAACCCAACAGTATTCTTAGTACACACTAGGAAGATTCGACTTGCAAGCCTACACCTACAAGTGTGTAGTTTGTTATGGTACACACAAGGAAGAGTTGTACCTGCCATAGTACGCACCTACAAGTGTGGTATGCTTGCAAGTCGACTCGTCCTTGTGTATAATAAGTAATTACACTGTTGTGTATGCAGTGATTCTTTACAACAGTGTACAGAACTGTTTTCTAATTCCACGTGATAGCGGTCATATGCTGTGTACTGTGTATAGTTTATAAAATTAACCTTTAATCATTGTATTTTCACTCGAGTCTAGGAATAATCCTACATTCTACCACTCCACACATGATGAGATTTTCCGCTGTGCCAAATTTTATTTTAAACTTATAGAACCCATATGGCATCATGGGAAAGTTCGGAAAAATCCATTCCACCGGGGCATTATTAACCTCGTAAACTCCCTGTAAACAGAAGTGATGACATGATTACAATTATTAAAGCCACAACGTTCTTCACGTTTCAATATTCTGCGAATTTAGGTGCAGAACTGTTCCACAGTTCTACAGTTCTAAGTGGCAAACATGTAATTTGATCTGCAGTTATAAGTGGCGACTGCAGAACGAAAATATTCGTCACTAAGAAGTGCAGAACTTTTCATGACAACAGAAAGTTCGTGTCCCAAGTGCAGTAGACGGGAACCTATGTGCTCTGCCGTCCTTAGTGACGATTTTTTGTTTGTTTCAAAGCAAAAAACAACAGTATAACGCTGAGTGCTTACAGGCTGGTGACTGCACACGCCGTTAATTTCTCTCTTTTTAAACAATTGTTCGTATAAGACTGGGATATTTGTTTTAATAGTCGTGCAGGCTCTGCTTTTGAAAGTAAAGATAAAGGCGTTTTCCTTCCATTGGTTGTTTGATCGAGTATCTAAGATCACTGTAATCTGTTATAGAAAAGATTAATATGCATGCATGTAATCCTTTTTTAATCCAGCCTCAATCCGCAGTCTGTTTGGTTTTTATTTTACAGGCAAGTATAATAAGGATCATATCTGCAATGGCTTACCGGAAGGCTGTCATCAAAAGATTTATTTCCAAGTGTAATGTTTCCAGTCAATAACTGTATTTCTTTTGGTTTATATGGGTTAAAGCGAGTAGTTCGGAAATGCCATCTCCACGGACGCGGGTGTGGGTTACACTCGTAAAAGCGTTCGGTGAACGCTCTGTAAGGCCCCTTAGACGAAAGAGAGATGGACAACACCGTGAGGTCGAATGTAAATGTTACGGTGAAGAAGCTGTGTTCACGAAATGAATCCAAATTTTTTTAAAAAAAAGCATTCTGAAAATCTCACACAAACTTACAATGGCAGAGTAAATAGTTGTGCCACATATGACCCTCTGGCTTGTGTGCGCTAGCACAACGACCACGAAAATAAATGCTGACATATTGGAACATCGAAGTACGATGGCAGTCCCGCGCACAGAAAAGGAAAATCTTCAACGAGAGGTTGTGCTGTGCCAAAGCCCACTGTTCCACGGTTCTGTGAGAGGTGATTTGACAGCGGCTCGCTGCAGTCAACAACACGTATACATGGTACTTCAGAATATCATTATTTATTTTTTTACCTCACGTGAGATAGAAGTTATGACGATTGGCGCACAAGTCCCCCCCCCCCCCTGTGTCGGCACTGACATCAACTGATACGAACTTGGAACTGACCACTGACACCTAAACACTGATAGCCGAACTCTGACAAAACTAAACACGGACGGCTGAACACTGACAAATGAACACTGACAAATGAACACTTTAAAATTCTGTTTATTTCTTTTCTAATTTGGTACACCTGTCAATTTGTTTTTATTAACCTCGCGTTATAGATACTCCATAAACACGATTAGCTTGGTTGCCGGGCGGGCTGTTTGAGTTTGACCGCCCACAACAGCGCCGCGTTGGCCAATGTCCGGCGTGCTGCTGCGACAAGTTCTCCGAGGGCAATACGTTTTGCTAGTTGGGCGACGTTTCTTCGCACAATGCATCGCAACGACGCGTCATGAACGACGCCTAGGCGGGGCGGGGCCGGGCGGGGCGGGCGCGGAGGTGGAGAAGGCAGGAGGCAATGAAGTCTATGATGGGACCGTTAGAGCTGTTGCTCTGGGTGGAGAGGGATGGGAGGGGTGGGGGCAGGTTTGAAGGCAAACGCCAGCTAACTGCATCAGTATGGTCAACACGCATCAGTCGCGCGTTTCCTCTGTGACGCGTGTGACGTTGTCCTCCTGTGGGCGGCGGCGGGCGGCGAGGTGCTCGGCCCGAAACAGACATCGCATACGGAAAG